AAAAATCATATTATATACTTATGTAAACATGTATTCAAAATATTTAAGAAACTTTCTAAACATTGGAAATAGACTCATCGCAAGTCTTACTTCCATATAACAACATATGTATATAGTAATATGCACTCACCTTGGCCTCACTTAGTCAAAGCAACACACTTATCAGTCTTGGTCGATCTAATAATTTCGAATCGTCTGGTACTTTCCTTCGTTCAATAACTACACAATAATACGTTTGGTATGAATATTGGAGTTCATATTACTATTAATTAATCCTTAATAACTTAGGTTAAAGGAAACACTTAATTCACAATTTCAATCTGAATAGTATCGATACGCTAGGCCCAGTACCGATACTTCCTCATTATGGTATCGATACTATACTTCAGTATAGATACCCATTCTACATTTTGGAATTTGACATCTAAAAATGGTACCGATACTTGTCCACTAGTATCGATACCCTTGGTATTAATGCTACTAGTTCGGTATCGATACTATTTTAAGGATTCATACAATTTTACCTTATGGTATCGATACTGTTCTTCCAATATCGATACTCAAACCCAGATTTCACCTATTTTTTCCTTGAAGTATAGTACTGTTCATCCAGTACAGATACCCTTGCCCAGAAATTACCTACTTCATTTAGAAAATTTGCCAAAAATGACCTAAACCCCACTCTTTTAACTCATTTCAAGCTTTTAAACTTAACTGTACTTATTAAAACAAACTTATATCACTTTAATACATCTAAACCTTCAAAATCCTAAGTAATCACTTGAATCCAAAAGTCATACCAATTCATCACCATTGTTCTTAATCCTTTTTAATAACTTAAACTTCTTATTCTAACTGATGACAAGTCAAATATGACTTCAAAATCAATTTATTCATCAATTCTTATCAATCCACTCAAAAACCCTTTTATTTCAATCACCCATAACTTGACCATCTTTTAGTTTCTACTTCTCTTTAAGGTTTCTAAAACTTCCCTAATACCCTAAGAATAAAAACTTAATCAAAATTTACAAGAAATAATTAATTGAAAGATTTCTTACTTAACTATGGAGCTCACATAGGAAAGGTGGAAGAAAAGATGAAGAAGAGAGAAAATTCTAGATTTCCTTTAACTCTTTCTTTCCTTTTGCACGTGTTTATAATACCTCCATAATGAGTTTTTAATTCATTTCCTTGCCTAAAGGCCATTATGCCCTTCAATATTTCTATCTTTTCTAAACCATCCTACACAAAGAAATTCTAATTAAGTACCTAAACTTTTCACTTTATCCATTTTAAAAATGAAATTTTAAAATCTTACACTTTGGTCACTAGCCTGGTTTTTGGGATGTTACGAATCTCCCCCTTCAAAAAAATTTTCCTCGAATTTTCACTGCACAAAGAGATGGGGAAATTGTCTACGCATATCCTCATCACGTTCCCATGTTGTTTCTTTTACCTTTTGATTTCTCCACAAAACTTTGACTAATGGAATCGTCTTATTCCTTAGCTGTTTAACTTCATATGCCAAAATCTGCACCGTTTATTCCTCGTAGGTCAGATTAGGTTGAACTTCTATCTCCTCCAGCGTAATGATATGAGAAGGATCAGATCGGATCGATATCTTCTAAGCATGGAAACATGGAAAACATTATGAATCTTCTCCATCTTTGGTGGCAAAGCTAACTGATATGCCACTGGTCCCACTCTCTTAACAATCTTGTAGGGGCCAATAAATATGGGGCTATGTTTTCCTTTCTGTCCAAAATGTAATACTTTTTCCAATGAGAAACTTTCAGAAAAAATTATCTCTAACATCGAACTCAATCTCTTTTCTCTTTAAATTTGCATATAACTTCTGCCTATCGGCTGTCACTTTGAGATTATGTTGGATGAGTTAAACTTTCTCTTCTACCTCCTTGATCAAGTCAAGACCAAGAATGTCCCGATCCTTAAGCTCATACTAATTCAATGGTGTACGACACTTTCTCCCGTATAAAGCTTCATAGGGAGCCATCTTGATTCTTGACTGGTAACTATTATTATAAGCAAATTCAGCAAGAGGCAAATACTTCTCCCAAGATCTTTTGAACTCGATAACACATGCCCTTAACATGTCTTCTAGGATCTGGATAGTCTGCTCAGACTGCCCATCTGTCTGAGGGTGAAAAGTTGTACTAAAGTTTAACCGAGTCTAAAGCTCCATATAAAGCTTTCCAAAATCTTGAAGTAAATCGTGGATCTCGATCAGACACTATTGAAATAGGCACACCATGCAATCGAATAATCTCTTTGATGTACAGTTCAACATACTTGTCCATAGAGAAATCAGCTCGAACAGAAATAAAATATGCTGACTTAGTCAAACGATCAACTATAACCCAAATTGAGTCTCGTTTATTAGGAGTCAAAGGTAACCCCGTTACAAAATCCATCGTAATATTCCCCACTGAGGAATAGAAATTGGTTGCAATAATCCTGAAGGAACTTGATGCTCAGCTTTTACTTGTTGATACGTCAAACACTTAGATACAAATTTTGTGATCCTTATTTTCATTCCTGGCCACCAATAACGACGTTTGAGATCCATATACATCTTGTTTCCAACTGGGTGCATAGTCAATGGACTATAATGAGCTTCTGATAACAATTCATTCTTCAACTCCTCATCGTCTGGAATAACAAGTCTTCCATGAGAATACATATTAACATCGAGCTTAACTTCAAAATCCTTATTCCCTTCATTTTTCACTTGCTCCATTCTTTTCAAATACTTATCATCTTTGTATTTTAAATCCTTAATTCGATCCAGTAACGTCAGTTTAATCTTTAAATCTGCAAGTAACGTACCATCTCCATTTGATGATGATCTCACATCTAAAGTTTGAAAAGCTAAGAATGTTTTCCGACTCAGAGTATCAACTACTACATTTGCTTTTTCATGGTGAAAATCAATTACCACATCATAATCCTTGAGAAGCTCAATCCATTTTCGTTGTCTCAAGTTTAATTCTTTCTGAGTCATTAGATACTTCAAACTCTTGTGATCAGTGTAGACGTAGCAACGTTCATCATATATAAGTAGTGACGCCATATCTTCAGAGCAAACACTACTGCAATCAACTCCAAATTATGTGTCAGATAATTCTTCTCATGCGGTTTCAATTACCTCGATATATATGCTAACACTTTAACTTATTACATCAATACACATCCCAAGCCATTGTGAGATGTGTCACTATAAACCACATAATCCTTTCCACATTCTGGTTGGACCAATAGCAGAGCTTCCGTCAAAATTTGCTTTAACGCTTCAAAACTATTTTGACATTTAGTGATCTAAGAAAAAGACACATTTTTCCTTAACAACTTGGTCAAAGGCAAACTACCATCGAAAAGTTCTTAACGAACCTTCGATAGTAACCGACAAGACCTAGGAAACTCTGAACTTCTGACACATTTTGTGGAATTTCCCAATTTAATATAGCTTTTATCTTACGAGGATCTACTCGAATCCCCTTTTCTGATACCACATGTCCAAGGAATGCCACTTTAGTTAGCCAAAACTCACACTTAGATAATTTGGCATAAAGCTTCTTATCTCGTAGAGTTTGTAGAACTACTCTAAGGTTCACATCATTCTCTTCATTGGACTTTGGATACACCAAAATATTGTCAATGAAAACAACCACAAACTGATCAAGATAAGGTTGAAACACTCTATTCATTAGGTCTATAAACGCAACAGGTGCATTAGTTAACCAAACAACTTAATGATGAATTCATAATGACTATATCTCGTCCTAAAAGTCGTCTTTGGAATGTCTCTTTCTTGAATCTTAATTTGATGATATCCAGAACCCAAATCAATCTTAGAGAATACCGGTGCTCCTTCTAACTGATCAAACAAATCATCGATTCTAGGGAGATGATACTTGATCTTTAGTGTCACATTATTAAGTTGTCGATAATCAATGCAGAGACGCATTGAACCATCTTTCTTCTTTACAAATAACAATGGAGCTCCCCAAGGTGACACACGTCTGATGAATTATTTATCCAATAACTATTGCAACTGAGTCTTGAACTCACTCAGTTCCTTCGGGGCCATTCGGTATTGAGCCATTACAATAGGTGCCTTTCCAGGTATTACCTCAATTTGAAACTCGACCTCTCGATCCGGAGGTAATCCTGACAACTCAGCTGGAAAAACTTCTGGAAATTCTTAGACCGTTGGAATATCCTCTAATCCTCTCTCCTTGACTCGAGTGTCAATCACATTGGCAATGAAAGTTGGACATCCTTGTAACAATAACTTCTTAACCGACATCACCGATATAACATTAGCTAATCACTCTTACAATCACTGCTGATCCATCAGGACTTATCAAAGTTACTCTTCAATCTAGAGTCCATATTGGCATGATAACGATACATCCAATCCATTCCCAAAATCACTTCAAACTCAGCAAAGGGAATTCAATTCACTGAATCCTTATAGGACACCCTCGACACAAATGATTCACCCGAGCACTATGAATGGGTTAGTCACTATTACATCGTTACTTATTGCTTCTAATTGGATTTTCAATTCTCTCACCAATTTGCTACTAATATAAGAATAAGTCGATCTCAGATCAATTAATACCAAAACAAATTTATCAAATAATTGAAAAGTACCTGCAATGATCTCCGGATCATCGTGATCTTTATTAGTCTTAATATTGTAGACCCGTGCTATTGAACGTACTTCATTTTGAGTGGTCAACTTAGACTGATTCATTCCTCGACCTCTTCCTCTACCTCTCGTGACACTATAGCAAATCGCTCAGTTTGTGCAGGTTCTCCAGCCATCAATGGATATTCCTGAATAAAATGTCCAGTGTCCCCACATCTAACGCATGCTCCGGAGACCACTCGACATACTCCAGTTTGATTATTTCCACAATGCTAACACTGAATGGATTAACCTTGATTTGACCTTCCATCTCCAGACCCTACTAGTTGAGTCTATTTAGATCTAATTGAATTTGATCTTTGGAAGAGGATGCAGCTGACACAAATCTAGTCTGGGGTTGAAAACCAAAACCTCTGCCTCTCTTTGATGGTTCTAAACTCAACGAAGCACCAGTTCTCTTAGTCATCTGAGCTTTTTGCTCAATAAACCTCTCATTCTGAGCTCTCTCTAGAGATTCAAAACTATTAACATATCTTTCAGTATAGGACGCAAGCCCTCAACAAACCAATCGCATGCATCATTCTCAGTCGAAACCAGCTCAGCAGCAAATCTACTCAACTTATTAAACTCGTAATCGTACTTATACACGGTACGATTTCCTTGCTTTAAGCTCATGAATTCTTGTTTCATTTGCATAATAAATTGATCTCCAATGTACTTGTTCTTGAACTCTTCTAGAAAGAACGACCACGTCACTTGGTCACTTGACATTCTCATGGTGGCATTAGTCCACCAAACTCGAGCTTGCCCTCTTAGCAACGAGACTGCTCCATCTAACTTCTCCACTTCAGAGCTGTGAAGACCCTCTAACATAATTTTTACATCATTTAACTAAAGGTCCACAGCAACAGGACCTTCCTCAGTTTCACCCTTTAACTCGGGTGATCCTAACCATTTAGACTTTTTTTCTACACTTATTTTAGGAGTTGAGAGAGTAGGTGGTTAGAAACGCGTTAGAATAGCGTCCAACGTCCCTCGTGGTCAGACATCTAATAAGATATAACCATTTACTCTAATAGCCAAGACATCATATTCATTATACTATTAGATCAGAATTTTTTCACTTTTTATTGGCATGTATACTTTTTAAAACACAATTAACTTCAATTTAAGCCTAGAATCGGCTAAACCTTAGCTCTGATACCATTAAATTAACACCTCCAACTTGTATTCAAGCCGAATACGAATTCAAGGTGTCATATTAACTTTTTAAAGCATTTACTATTAAAAAGTAGTAAAATTAAAAACGTTTATTTGTTTAAATGGTGGAACCCGTAATTAAAAGGAAAAATTGAAAATTCAAACTCAAATTTAAAATAAAACTTACTCAAATTTATATAAATACAATAAAGTAAGTTTACAAAATCTGATCAGAGCATATGCAATTTAAACATTCATTTACATGCAAATAAAATTCAATATAACAAAAACATACAACTTAAATCGATTCTGATATGATCTTCTGTGGAGATATGATGTCTTGACTTATCCTAGCTCTGTTATTCCGGCTTCTTTGAACCTACGTGTGAAAACACTCACACGTAATGCATTTCACAAAACATTAAAAACATAATGCATTTCACAAAATATTAAAAACATTTAGTCTTATACTTAACTTTATAAAATATCATATAATAAAAAAACCATAATGCATTTCACAAAACATAAACATAGAGAACATCATGCACTATTCATTCATGTTATTTCTTTTAATATATACCATGGTACATCACTGAGAACTTAAGGTATGTGAGTGCATTGAGGTTGTGTACTGGGTTATAGTCGAAATTGCCACATAGTATTACACCAAAGTGCCGCGTAGAATATGCACCGAAGTGCCACGTAGAAATTATCTCGAAGGACCACATAGTATTATCCCAAAGGACCGCGTAGAAATGTCCCAAAGGACCACGTAGATTTGTCCTGTAGGACCGTATAGAACCCTCGACTCTTGGTATGCCAATTATACCTTTAGCTCTCAAATCATATAGTTTTGGGCTTTACTAGTTATACATTACACATAGCTTATATCACATATTCATGTAATCACATATGTCAACATCACATAATATTAAATATAAACAGTACATGTTCACGTAGTAACAGAACCAAAACTAGGATTATATTCATATAATCACGTAATTTAATACACATATTCATGTAGTAATGAAATCAAAATCATATTATGTACTCATGTAAACATGTATTCAAAACATTTAAGAAACCTTCAAAACATTGTTTCAATCAAAACATTGGAAATAGACTCATCGCAAGTCTTATTTCCATATAACAATATATGTATATAAATAATATGCACTCACATTGGCCTCACTTAGTCAAAACAACACACTTATCACTTAATTCAAAATTTCAATCTAAATAGTATTGATACCCTAGGCCTAGTACCGATACTTCCTCATTATAGTATCGATACTATACTTCAATATAGATATCCATTCTACATTATAGAATTTGACTTCTAAAAATGGTACCGATACTTGTCCACTAGTATAAATACCCTTGGTATCGATGCTAATTGTTCGGTATCGATGATATTTTAAAGATTCATACAATTTTACCTTATGGTATCAATATCGTTCTTCCAGTATCGATACTCAAACCCAGATTTCACCTATTTTTGCCTTGAAGTATCGGTACTGTTTAGAAATTACCTACTTTATTTCAAAAATTTGCCAAAACTTACCTAAACCCCACTCTTTTAACTTATTTCAAGCTTTTAAACTCAATTATACTTATTAAAACCAACTTATATCACTTTAATACATCTAAACCTTCAAAATCCAAAATAATCACTTGAAACCAAAAATCATACCAATTCATTAACATTGTTCTTAATCATTTTTAACAACTTAAACTTCTTATTATAACTGATTACAATTCAAATATGACTTCAAAATTCATTTATTCATCAATTCTTATCAATCCACTCAAAAACCCTTTTATTTCAATCACCCATAACTTGACCATCTTATAGTTTTTACTTCTCTTTAAGCTTTCTCAAGCTTCCTTAATACCCCAATAATAAAAAATTAATCAAAATTTACAAGAAATAACTAATTAAAAGATTTCTTACCTTAACTATGGAGCTCACAGTCGAAAGGAGTAAGAAATTATGAAGAAGAGAGAAAATTCTAGATTTCCATTAACTATTTCTTTCCTTTTCCACGTGTTTATAATACCTCCATAATTAATTTTTAATTCATTTCCTTACCTAAAGACCATTATGCCCTTCCATAATTCCATTTTTGCTAAAGCATCCTACACAAAGAAATTCCATTTAAGTCCTTAAACCTTTCAATTTATCCACTTTAATCAAAAAAATTTAAAATCTTACACTTTAGTCACTAATTCCGATTTTTGGGATGTTACACTCTAGTTATCAGCTAAAACCCATTGTTCACGTTGATCTTCTAATTTCTCTCGAATACTAAATATCCTTAACTTAGTTTCTCTCGAACACTAAGTATTATACTTAAGAAATCGTCACTCTTATGCCTACTAAAATCTTAAGTAATTCGAAACAATGAACAAAACAAATGATAAACATAAAAACATCAACCATTTATTAAAGAAAAAACATATAATTATCCATCATAACCTCAATAAATAAGGTTTAGTTCATAGTGGGGTTCAAATCATCCATAACAATAATACATTCCATACAACCCATCAAATAAAAGAGAAATGAAGCAAAAGACGTAGAGAAAAACTCCCAACGTGCACTACCGTGAGCTCCTCGACCATAATGAATCATTTGCTTCTCTCGGACGCCAATCTCGCCACTCCATCAAGCTCATTTAATGGAGGAAACCCACGAAGAAAATGAAAGGAAGAAAAAAGAAGAAGTTTTTCAGTTGACTTTTAGCTCAATAATGTAAAATAGGAAAAAAAGCTCATTTCCTGGTGTCATAATCTATTTATACTAAAGGAATATACTGAGATTTTTGTGCCAAAATTCCATTGGTACCCATTGTCACATTTCCCCCAATAGAGTGGGAGCTTTGCTTTTGTGATACCTATAACCCGAGTAAGATTTTATCAAATTGGTCTTCCATGACATTTTTTCTTGTGGCAAAGAGTCATGATGATGTTAGGGAATATTAGGGTACTAGTAAGCATGCGCTTGTTTGAAAATAATCTTGGCCACATCAATTAATTACCCTACAAGTATTGAATGCGAGAGCATCATCCGAGGGAGTGAGACGACAGTATTGTGGGCGATTGGCATTAGCTTGTGCTTCATAAAGTGGCTCCATAACTTGGACCATGGTTGAAGTCTTTCTCTATCCATCGATCATCGACTTGCTTATTTCCATTTCACTTTGAGTTCAAAAAACAAAAACCTTCTATCACCGCATGATTGGTCACATTGTCGGTCTCCTTTTCAAATTGAGTATGATAATCAATGATGCCCTGTAATTTGAAGTATCGATTAATTTAAGAAGATGTAAAACAAATATACTCACATCGCATGAAAACTGAGTGTTGGTTAGGGCTGGCGATATTAGCATAAAACTCTATGACAATGAAAGCGTTGATATTCTTGGGATGCCATGCGAACTTTTCCAGCGGTTTTGAGTGACAATCTCCATGACATCCAACCCAATGTCACCATTTTTTATTGGAGAGAACAAATCCTTCCTCAAAGAAAACTCATCCATTCTTTATCGTTTGAAACTACTCTTTTTCCTCATCATCTTGGAATTTCTGAGTGTCTTTGTTTGAAGGAAGAGTACGCACCATTGTTTATTTGAATGGACAAAGAGAAAGAGAGGAAGATGAATTATGAAGAATAACAAATGAGGGAGAGAAAGTGCAAAAGTAAAATAAAAAATTATGGGGGAGAGTGTTTTTAATGATAGAAAATGTGTGAGGGGGTTTGATAGGACAAATGTAATGATGGGTTTGTAAAATGGTGGAAGGAGAAAATAAAATAAAATAATTTAAAAGTGGTTTTTGAAAATTTAAAAAAAATTATCCCTATTTTTTTTATCCTTTTGTTATTGCATACGACAAACACCACCCTCATGCATAGAGCGTTTCAATGCCCTAAAAACACGCCTTGAAAAATTCATGAGCATCCTTAAATAGAGTGGGATAATAGAAACCTAACTAAAAGATATTTGCAGCAATCCTTGCTCCTCCAAAGTGACCTCCACATGGTGTCGAATGGCAATGGTGTAAGATGTATTTTTTCTCCTCGGGACACACCTTCGGATATTCTGGTGGGCACATTGCTTGAACAAGTATGGCTCATCCCAAAAATAAAATCTTGCATCATGCCTAAATTTTCTCTTTCCTTGGTTGTTCACGTCATAAGACAAAATACCACTAATAAGGAAATTAACAATGTTAGCGTACCACGAAATTGTCATGGCATGTAAAATTTGCTCATCAAGAAATTTCTCTTTAATATCTAGTTGACATGGCTTGCTGAATTGTTCTCTAGCCTAGAAATATGGTTAGTAACTTGATTCTCATTATCTTTCCTATCTACAACCTCTAGAAATATGTAAAATGTGCTGTAAGCTCATAGTTCTTCATCAAGCTTCGGCGACCAGTCTTTTCGTCTAGGGTTCACCATATTCTCAAGGATTTGCTTAATCTTGTGGTTTGACACTTCAGCTTGCCAATTGGTCTATGGGTAATATGTCGTGGCAATTTTGTGTTGCACTGCATATCTTTTCAGTGCTTTGCCAATTAATTTCTTATCGAAGTGGGTACCTTCGTCTCTGATGATATCTCTAGGTGCGCCAAATCTCGTGAAGATGTACTTATACATAAACTTAAGAATAGTCTTTGAATCGTTCCTTGGCATCCCAATTGCTTCAACCCACTTAGACATGTATTCCAAAGCGAGAAAAATATATAAGCCACCAAACGAGGATGGGAAGGGTCCCATAAAGTATATGCCTCACACATAAAAATGTTCTATCTCCAAGATATTTTGCAATGAATTTTATGTCGTCTAGAGATATTCTCGTGCGTTGGCATCTATTACATGCCTTGTAAAATTCATGAGCATCCTTATATAGTGGGCCAATAGAAACCTAACTGAAAGACATTTACAGCAGTCCTTGCTCCTCCAAAGTGACCTCCACATGGTGTCGAATGTCAATGGTGTAAGATGTCTTTTTTCTCCTCCTCGGGGACACACTTCGGATATTCTGGTGGGCAAATTGCTTGAACAAGTATGGCTCATCCCAAAAATAAATCTTGCGTCATGCCTGAATTTCCTCTTTCCTTGGTTGTTTATTTCATAAGATAAAATACCACTAATAAGGAAATTAACAATGTTAGTACCACAAATTGTCGTGGCATGTAAAATTTTCTCATTAGGGAATTTCTCTTTAATATCTAAGTTGACATGGCTTGCTGAATTATTCTCTAGCCTAGAAATATGGTCAGTAACTTGATTCTCATTACCTTTCTTATATACAACCTCTAGAAATATGTAAAATGTGTTATAAGACCATAATGCTTCATCAAGCTTTGGCGACCAGTCCTTTCGTCTAGGGTTCACCATATTCTCAAGGATTTGCTTAATCTTGCGGTTTGACACTTCAGCTTGCCCATTGGTCTGCGAGTAATTTTTCATGGAAATTTTGTGTCCCACCCCATATCTTTGTAGTACTTTTCCAATTAAATTCTTATCGAAGTGGGTACCTTCGTCTTTGATGATATCTCTAGGTGCACCAAATCTCATGAAGATGTACTTATGCAGAAACTTAGGAATAGTTTTTGAATCGTTCCTTGGCATCCCAATTGCTTTAACCCACTTAGACATGTATTCCAAAGCGAGAAAAATATATAAGCCACCAAACGAGGATGGGAAGGGTCCCATAAAGTATATGCCCCACTCATAAAAAATTTCTATCTCCAAGATATTTTGCAATGACATTTCATGTCGTCTAGAGATATTTCCCGTGCGTTGGCATCTATTACACGCCTTGTAAAATTCATGAGCATCTTAAATAGAGTGGGCCAATAGAAACCTAACTGAAAGACATTTGCAGCAGTCCTTGCTCCTCCAAAGTGACCTCCACATGGTGTCGAATGTCAATGGTGTAAGATGTCTTTTTTCTCCTCCTCGGGGACACACCTTCGGATATTCTGGTGGGCACATTGCTTGAACAAGTATGGCTCATCCCAAAAATAAAATCTTGCGTCATGCCTGAATTTCCTCTTTCCTTGGTTGTTCATTTCATAAGACAAAATACCACTAATAAGGAAATTAACAATGTTAGCATACCACGAAATTGTCGTGGCATGTAAAATTTTCTCATTAGGGAATTTCTCTTTAATATCTAAGTTGACATGGCTGAATTATTTCTAGCCTAGAAATATGGTCAGTAACTTGATTCTCATTACCTTTCTTATATACAACCTCTAGAAATATGTAAAATGTGTTGTAAGAACATAATACTTCATCAAGCGTTGGTGACCAGTCCTTTCGTCTAGGGTTCACCATATTCTCAAGGATTTGCTTAATCTTGCGGTTTGACACTTCAGCTTGCCCATTGGTCTGCGGATAATTTTTCATTGCAATTTTGTGTCCCACCCCATATCTTTGTAGTACTTTTCCAATTAACTTCTTATCGAAGTGGGTACCTTCGTCTTTGATGATATCTCTAGGTGCACCAAATCTCGTGAAGATGTACTTATGCAGAAACTTAGGAATAGTTTTTGAATCGTTTCTTTGGTATCCCAATTGCTTCAACCCACTTAGACATGTAGTCCAAAGCGAGAAAAATATATAAGCCACCAAACGAGGATGGGAAGGGTCCCATAAAGTATATTCCCTACTCATAAAAAAGTTCTATCTCCAAGATATTTTGCAATGACATTTCATGTCGTCTAGAGATATTTCCCGTGCGTTGGCATCTATTACACGCCTTGTAAAATTCATGAGCATCCTTAAATAAAGTGGGCCAATAGAAACCTAACTGAAAGACATTTGCAGCAGTCATTGGTCCTCCAAAGTGACCTCCACATGGTGTCGAATGGCAATGGTGTAAGATGTCTTTTTTTCTCCTCCTCGGGGACACACCTTCTATATTCTAGTGGGTATATTGCTTGAACAAGTATGGCTCATCCCAAAAATAAATCTTGCATCATGCCTGAATTTCATCTTTCCTTGGTTGTTCATGTCATAAGACAAAATACGACTAATAAGGAAATTAACAAGGTTAACGTATCACGAAATTGTCATAGCATGTAAAATTTCCTCATTAGGGAATTTCTCTTTAATATCTAAGTTGTCATGGCTTGCTGAATTGTTCTCTAGCCTAGAAATATGGTCAGTGACTTGATTCTCATTACCTTTCCTATCTACAATCTCTAAATCAAATTCTTGCAAAAGTAATATCCATCTAATAAATCTAGGCTTGGCATCCTTCTTGTTCACTCAGTATTTGATAGCTGACTGATCAGTGTGAACTATGACCTTGGTGCTTATCAAGTATGACCTAAACTTGTGAAATGCAAATACCACAACAAGTAATTCTTTCTTAATGATAGTATAGTTAAGTTGCACATCATTGAGAGTACAACTAGTATAATAGATAACATGAAAGATTTTACCTCGACATTTCCCAAGTACAACTCCTACAACATAGTCCTTTGCATCACACATTAGTTCAAATGGTGATATCCAATCAAGGGAACAACAATGGACGCTTAGATAAGGCTCTGCTTTAGCTTTATAAATATGCCATGAAAAAATTTATCGAACACGAATGGATGCTTTTTTACAGTAAGGTATACTAAGGTTTTGAAATCTTGGAAAAGTCCTTGATGAATCTCCTATAGAAACCAACATGTCTAAGAAAACTCCTAATTCCCTTGATAGAGGTTGGTGGAGAAAACTTCTCAATCACCTCAATTTTAGCTCTATCCACCTTAATACCCTTTTTTGAAATCATGTGGCCTAACAAAATGCTTTCAGTCACCATGAAGTGACATATTTCCCAATTCAATACAAGATCAACCTCTTTACAATGCTTGAAAACCTTCACCGGATTACCAAGACATTGTTCAAAGTTGTATCCAGAGACGGAGAAATCATCTATGAATATTTCCAAAAAGTCCTCAACTATGTCAGAGAAAATAACTTGCATACATCGCTGAAAAGTTACTAGAGCATTGCATAAACCAAGGGGCATCCTCTTAAAAGTACAAGTTCAATAAGGATATGTGAATGTTATCTTTTCTTGGTTCTCTGGTGTTATGGAAATTTGGTTGTACCAAAATTCTCTAGCTAGAAAGAAATAATATATCTTGCCTGCCAATCGATCAAGCATCTGATCGATGAAGGTAGAGGAAAATGGTCATTTTTAGTAGTCTTGTTGAGCCTGCTGTAGTCCATGCAAATCCTCCATCCAGTGACAGTGTATGTGGGTAGAAGCTCACTGTCTTCATTGTTCACCACGGTTATACCTCCTTTCGTGTGGACACATTGCACTATGCTCACCCATGAGCTATTGGATATTGGGTAAACAACTCCAGCATCAAGCCACTTGATAATTTCTTTCATTACCACCTTCTTCATGAAATGGTTGAGCCTTCTTTGTGGCTCTATGGAATTGCCATGATAATCTTCCAGTATAATTTTATGCATTCAAATGGTAGTACTTATCCCCTTTAAGTTTTCCATAGTCCATCATAATGTTTTCTTATGCTGTGAAAAAATGGTTAGCAAACTGCGTTCTTGATCGAGATTAAGGCTAGAGGAGATAATCACTGACAATGTTTTATTACTACCTAAGTAAGCATATTTAAGATGTTGTGGAAATTTTTTTAGCTCTAAGGTAGGTGCATGCTGTAGTGAAGGCTTAGGAGGAATAAATTCATCGAAATCAAGAGGTTCAAAGTATATACCTGGTCTAGCTGAAAGTAAGATAGATTGGTGTATCTCCAATGGAAATTCCTTGGCCTCTTCTTTATTGTCATCACCTGTGAGCTTTCCATAATAATCCAACTATATGAACTTGCTATAGCAAAATTGTTCTGCTTCCCCTTCTATCATTGAGTTTGTTTCCATAATGATCTAGCATTCTTCATAATCATCCGCATACTTGAGAGAATCGAAGACATTCACTGTCATACTTTGGTTAGCTACTCGTATAGTGAGTTCACCTTTCTCACAATCAATCAGGATGCAACCCATGGCTAGGAAAGGTCTCCCAAAATTATGGGTGCATTGGCATCAACCTCATAATCAAGTATAAGAAAATTAACTGGGAACACAAATTTATCCACCCTCACTATGACATATTCGACTTTTCCTTCTGGACGAACATGGGACCGATCAGCTAGATGCAAAAATAATCGTATACACACTCTCTACTCTAGGGTAGAAATCATGGTTCAACTAAGGGTTCTACATCTCAGAGCTCACACACCCCTCTAATGTACCAAAGATGTGCCTCGGAATATCTACGTCAGACACAACACCCTCAACTAACCCACCCCTCATGGGTGTTGGACCTCGCGCCCTAGTTAGTCAGTTTAAAGTGCCTCATGTATTATCTAAGGATATCCAGACTGAATCTATTCATCAAAATCTCTATCTTTACTAAGAGAACTCAGGTATCCTGATCATTTCTCGAGCATCAATCAAGGCTAGTTTTATGTCACCCTAACTGATCTCGTTTCTGAGTGTAATTTAACATTATTATTGTTTCACTTGTAATTTTATTTGAGAGAAATGAAAGATTTCTTAGGAACCTCATTTCCCCTTACAATCCCTTAAAATTTTATGATCCAAAATGTACGATGGAACCGATACTGGCCCTTCAGTATCAGTATTGTTCACTTAGTATCAATACCTATATTTAGGTATCTATACTCTACTCTATGTGCAACTGATGGGGAAGGGAAAAGTATTGATACCTATCGACTGGTATCAATACATCTAAGCTGGGGTACCTATACTAACCATAATATTATTACCAATTTTTGATTTGATGTTATGAAAATTTCCTCAGTATCGATACTCTTATGGGAAGTATCGATACTCAAATTTAACTTTGATGCTTTCAAAAATGTTTCAGTACTGATACTTTCCCTCTGAGTATCGATACTCCTTCAATAACTTAAGAAAAGTTATCACTAGGGAACAACAATATCAGTACTATAATAACAGTATCGATACCCCTACTTGAAATAGACTTACTTAGGCTCAAATTTTATACTTAAACTCACCATATTTCTATTTTGAGGTTCCTAACTATTATTAATATCTTATGTGATCAATAAAGGTCATAAATAAGGCTTTAAAATGTATCTATAACATAAATCATAAAATCTACCATGACAATGTTCATCAAGCTTTAAGATCAGCTTATATGATATCTTGTATTTGTAATGACTCGCTAAAGAGTATAAAAGAGTTTTAAGTGTGGTTACATTGAATGCTTGATTTCTAAAAGTCCTCAACTCAACCAAGCAATAAATTTTGCTCTCCTCTTGTTCTAGAGCTCTCACTCACTTCTTTCTCTAACCAAGATGAGAAAAATAGATAACGAAATTAACTAAGAGATAAGATTGAAATGGAAACACTTCCTAAAACTTGAATCTATCCACATACCACCTAAAATCAATATATTCTCTTAAACCTCTCAAAAACCCATTTTAAAACTATTGTTAAAAAAATAGAGCTTAAATTGAAGCTCGAAGGATGGTGATTCACACTCTAACCTTGGCTTTTAACCAAACTAGAATTGAAATGCTTGAAACTCTTTATTTTTTGAAGGGAAGAGGAAGAGAAAATAATGGAAAGAGGAA